GGTGGGACTCCAACCCTGAGGCTGGGACTCCAACCCTGAGGCTGGGACTCCAACCCTGAGGCTGGGACTCCAACCCTGAGGCTGGGACTCTACCCCTGAGACTGGGACTCAGCATACAGGCGCTGAGCCGAATCTTGTCTTTGCTGAATATAAGCCATTTTATTTGATTGTTTGTGGATAAGAAATAAAAGTTTATTGTCTGATACGGCCGGCTACGGGTCACATCCGCCCCGATTATTACAATATATATATAGATTTTAGAGTTAGGAAGGGCTGACGAGACCATATGGCGGTGTTTGATTGGGAACCTAAGTTTATTGGTTTGCAACCACTAAACAACATGGAGTTCAGTTCACCCCGGAAAGCATTCTTAGGGGTCTGTTCATCAATCTTCTCACCCAGGGGGTTCCCTCACGTTCATAATTCAATTTTATGGGAAGAATGATTGAATCTTGGGTGGCAACATTGAGGAATAGACCCTTTAGCATCGGCCATTAGGGTTTGGGCATTGTTATAATGGGTGATTATACGGCATTCTGAGCACTTTGCATATCCCGTGATGAGCAGGGCAGTCTGAGGAGCGCTTTGATGAGGGTATGGTGTAGCACGGTTCACATTTTCAGCCCCAGCCATCTGATTTTTACCCCCCCCGGGTTTGGAAACACCAGTATAAAGTGGTGACTGATCAGGCCATCATTGATTTGCTGAAACCACTTGGAAAGTAAGTCTGTTGTTGGGCAGAAGCTTGACTCGGTGTAATTTCTGAAATGGGCTAAGCTCAAATGGTGGAGCAGCCAGCCGTGACCTCACCAGGCGTTATGGGTCTAGTGACAGGAAACAATACCGGCGCCTCCACGTGCAATATCGGCCAGTGGAAATGGTAACGAACACACTGAAGAGGCAGCTCCCACGGGTCAAAGGACCTTCAATCTGAGAGACAAAAAGGAGGTGCCTCCATAGTGTAAAACGGATTTTAATGATAAAACCGCACAACTGTATTGTACTTGCAAGAAGTCAGTAGTAAAAAGGCGCGTAGGAAAACAATGGGATGTCAAATCATCTAGCAGCGGAAGTCTGAAAAGATGTGCGGCATCAGCGTCCACTGCCCCCGCGTGGTTTCGGTTTACATGTTTCTGGGGCACGCAAGAAACGCGCATTTTTACTACCGACTTCTTGTAAGTGCAATACAGTTGTGCGTTTTTATTAGGGATGCACCGATACTAGTATCGGTGCCGATACCGAGTATTTGGGCGAGTACTCGTACTCGTCCAAATGCTCCGATACCTAGCACGAGTACTTCCTGTATCAGGAAGCCGGGCAGTGCATCACTACACGCTCCCCGGTTTCCTGATCGGCCAGGAAACGGCTCCATGCTCTCTCGTCACTTTGTGATGAGAGAGCATGGAGCCGACTTCCCGGGCCAATCAGGAAGCCGGGTAGCGTGCAATGACGCTCTTGCCCGGCTTCCCGATTGGTCAGGAAGCTAGCAAATCCGGAAGCCTGATTGGCCCGGGAAGCCGGCGTCATGCTCCCTCGTCATCTCATAAATCATTATATTAAGAAAGTGACCTTAAAGCATTAGTTTGTATTGCTTTAGAAAAAAATGTGACCTGTCCCTTTAAGAAAAAGTATCGGTAATTGGTATCTGCGAGTACTTCATCAAAAGTATCGGTACTCGTACTCGGTCTTAAAAAAAAGTGGTATCGGTGCATCCCTAGTTTTTATCATTAAAATCCGTTTTACACTATGGAGGCGCTCCTTTTTGTTTTTTGTTATCGGTCTGCTGAGACCACTGTAGCACTTTTATTGGCTGCTGAGGCATGTTTGTGGGCACAGCGCGGTAGACTGGGTCAGCCAAACGTGTATGGTCAAATGGGGACAAATAAGTACTGCCCCCAGCTATTTTGGCGTTACCGTTAGAGTGAAAATTGTCAGGATTGCCGGGTGTTAACGAATGTCGGGTGCCCGCGGACAGACGTCAAGCTTTTGAACAACAGACTACTGCCTCCTCCCCCCAAACCCCCCCCCATCCCCCCACACACACTTTGTGCTGTATACAGCATATACACAGCCATAGAAGGATCGATAATTGATATGTGCATCCTGGTGTTTTAGGAATGAGAAAGGACTTAAAGGGTCTGTCCACCCTAAACATTGTTCCCACCCTCCCCGGTAACTGACTTCACCAGAGAGTCTGGTTCTCTCTGCATGGATTTTATATTTATTTTATATTATTGAGGATGTAACAGGAGGAGCCAAGGCACACAAAGGTGAGCGGGAACTCCTAACTCTCCCAGGTGGAGAGGACCACAATTGAGAATCATGTGGTGGCTGATTGGTGGAGTATCCAAAACATAGGAAGCCAACTTGCTGGCTTGTTACACCTTGTTACAGGCCCTTTAACTGTACAGTATGGAGGATCTGGTAGCTGCCTTTTTTTTTGGCTCCGTAATGTCTGCTGTGATAGGTAGAACTGGGAACTCCAAAGAGGAGATCCCGCAGATCTAATCCATGCAATACAAAGCTTCGGGGGTGGACTGACTGTGTATTGCACAAGCTGAGGTTTGCCATGTCATAGAGAAGCGTTCTGAGGCCACGTTACTTGGAAGGGTTGACATATGCATTGGGGGTGGACTGATCATGTAATGCACAAGCTGAGGTTTGCCATGTCCAAGGTGAGCGTTCTGAGGCCACGTTACTTGGAAGGGTTGACATATGCATTGGGGGTGGACTGATCATGTAATGCACAAGCTGAGGTTTGCCATGTCCAAGGTGAGCGTTCTGAGGCCACGTTACTTGGAAGGGTTGACATATGCATTGGGGGTGGACTGATCATGTAATGCACAAGCTGAGGTTTGCCATGTCCAAGGTGAGCGTTCTGAGGCCACGTTACTTGGAAGGGTTGACATATGTATTGGGGGTGGACTGATCATGTAATGCACAAGCTGAGGTTTGCCATGGCCAAGCTGAGCGTTCTGAGGCCATGTTACTTGGAAGGGTTGACATATGCATTGGGGGTGGACTGATCATGTAATGCACAAGCTGAGGTTTGCCATGTCCAAGGTGAGCGTTCTGAGGCCACGTTACTTGGAAGGGTTGACATATGCATTGGGGGTGGACTGATCATGTAATGCACAAGCTGAGGTTTGCCATGGCCAAGGTGAGCGTTCTGAGGCCACGTTACTTGGAAGGGTTGACATATGCATTGGGGGTGGACTGATCATGTAATGCACAAGCTGAGGTTTGCCATGTCCAAGGTGAGCGTTCTGAGGCCACGTTACTTGGAAGGGTTGACATATGTATTGGGGGTGGACTGATCATGTAA